ATTTCTTTGTTTTGGCAAGTTGGCCATAGTTTGCATGCTCGCAGTTCCACCATACTCAAAGGCGGGCGGAAAGAAGCACACTATTGGTGGTTCTGAAGCCTTCTGAGTCTGAGCTAAAGCTAGAAAATACCGGGGACATCAACTTGTTTCTGTAATATCTAAGCTAAGAATGTTTTGTTCCAAATGATTTGTCAGCTTTAAGCGAAATACATTGTTTAAAAAAAACCTTTTCTTCCATGGTTTTTCCATTTTCACAGTCGCTCAAGCTCTCATTTTGGTTTCGAGGATCTTTGGGAACTTTATGCAGCGCATGTGGGCTCTACCCGGACATTTCGTTACCAACTTATGTTGGAAATTGGGACGATTATCAAGGACTGTTTCAAACATCTGTCGATTTTTCCTAGATTTTTTTGCGGAAATTGAAACTTTCTGTACATTTAAAGTGAGATTTTGCCGTCTCAATGAAGTGAAAACCGCGCATCAAGCCGTTATAGTTTCATCAAAATTGATTTTTGAAAAAAAAAATTTCTGCGCAACTGACGTTAAAAAGCGTGGAAAGTTTTGCTTCAAACACTTGATAGCCAATATTTCCCAGATTTCTTGCGAAAAATCACAGTCTCAGGGCATATAAAGTGAAGTTTTGGCGTTTCAAAGGCGTTGCAGGCACCTCTCAGTCTTGGCTAGTTTAAGAGAAATTAATTTTTGAAGGCGCTCTTGCGTAACTGAGGCTCTCGGTAGGGCGCCTGGTAAGTGTTACTTCAAATACCAGCCATTCTTTCCTAGAATTTTTTGGAATAATAAAACTTTCAGACCATTGAGAACGAAGTTCTGCCTCTTCAATGAAGTTTCAAGCGCCTTCCCATCTGGCCTAGTTTTTTCAGAATTAATTTTTAAACTTTCACTCAGCTGCGAATAGCGTTGGGGGCGCGTCATTTTTGGTTGAAACGGCTGCCAATATTTTCCAAATTTTTTTGAAAAAATGCAACTTCCAGGACGGTGGAAGGGAAGTTCTGCGTTTCCAGTGAACTCACCAGCTCATCTCTATCTAGTCAGATTCTAGACTATTTTTTGAAAAGAAAAACTTATCTTAAATGGCGCATTATTCTGCCAAAATTCTGCAGTTTTTCGCACGAAAACTCTTATCCCAAGTGACCGAAAGTTTGGCATTTCCAACAGACTTCGAAGCGCGTTTCAATCTAGCCCAGATTTTGCAAAATTTATTTTTGAAGAAACCCATACCAGGCACCTGAGGCGTTGCTTTAGAGCAAGTGTCATGCATTGATTCAAGCAAACGCTAATGTTCCCCAGATTTTTGGCGAAAAGCCACACTTTTAAGACATGTGAAGCGAAAGTTTTTCTTTTCGGTGGTGCTTCAAACACTTTTCGGTCTAGCTTAGTTTTAGTGCAATTAATTTTTCAAATAACACCTTTGCAGTGAAAAATCGCGTTAAACCGCAATAAGTGTTTGAAAAGCATGCGAAACTTGCCAGTGCTTTTGAGAAAACCGAAGCTTCCAGAACATTAGAGCGACAATTTGCTTTTTCACTGGCATTTTAAGCGCTTTGGAATCTTTGGAATCTCTGGAAATTCACTAATTTCACTTTTGAATACGCCTTTGCGTGAAAAGGCGCGTTGAGGCGCGTGCAGGTGTTACTTCAAATACCTGCCCCCATTCCCTAGATTTTTTGGGAATAATGAAACTCGTGTCTCGTGTTTCGGTGTTAACAGTGAAGTTTTCCCTTTTTAATGGAGTGGCAAGTGCCTTTCTATCTAGTCCAGTTTTCACGAATCTGCCTTGTCCTGCTCTAGTATTTTGAGGTAGGAATTTCTCCCACAAATCCCTGAGCCTCCCGGCTCAGAAGACTTCAGAACCAACAGGAGTTCTTCGAGGGACAAGTCGAGTAGTTCGGCAACTCTGTTATATACATTAATCAATGGCGATCCCCAATTCGAGGAATTAGAGAGTTCCGCGCTTCCACATCCACGTCCACCTGCCCTCCTCTCACTTTGTCATACTCGTTGCATTAAAGCATGCGCTAAAAGCAACGGGAATTCCCTCTTTCCTCTTATATACCGAGCTTAAGGTCACCTTGTATTCAGTTATTCATCAGTGTGGTAGACAGTGTTGGATTTTCCTGTTTTCCGACGATTTTCTCCTCGAATCGACTCTGAACCGGCTTGTCAGTTTCAAGTTAGGTTCCTCATCCATTGAAGAAACTTTTCCCGAGAGTAAGTCGCATGTTTAACGCCTATTTATTGAATTTGCACACCTAAGGGGGCTGTTTGTGTTATCAAACAAACGAACGTGAAAAAATGCCCTCTTAACTCCCACGAATGGTGCCGCAGGTACCAATCTTTCCATTCTTGCGACCCAAAATTTGGCTTTGGGAGGAATTTTCTAGTGTTTGACCATCTACAAATGTTTTTTAATTTCTTCAAAACTTTTAGCACTTAACTAAAGAAATGCGCGCAAACAATTCGCGATAAAACTGTGATTTCTTGCAAAAACTCACCTATTTGCAATAATTCGCATCCTCTTTTCCCTTTTAAGTATTAAATTTAGTAGGTTCTTTGCACCGAAACATATTTTTCAATAAAAAAAATCTTGCGGATTTTACCTCGAATCGGTGGGCAGATGGGCGTGAAGGATACAAGAACGTCCTCTGTTTGACCTTTGGCAAATTGGTCCAGAGGCCGACTACTGGATCCGATCATATAAAAATTATTTTTAGATTTATAAAATATTGATGTTTGGCTCATTTGGTGTAAAAATAGACGCCAAATTGCCTGCACAAAGTTGGAATTATTCGCATTCTTAAGTGCAAATGAATGCAAAGTGCATTTTTAAATGCCTGCTTTTTTCTTCAGTCCCAATGCGCTCTTTCAATTAATAATTGCCCATTAATAACGGGGTTTTAATGAAAAATTAGCCACGGATAGAAGGTACTTAAACACTTTTTTTTGACGTCAATAAATGAGACTTTTAATTGGAGGTCGATCAGGCGCGTTAAATAAATTACTCACTTTTTATTGTGTATGCATTTTATCTCATTTGTTTTATCAGGATTTATCGCAAAAAATTCCGTAGAGTAAAATTTAGTTCCCAAATCCATTGCTACATCAAATGTAAAATGGACTAAAATCAGGGAAATTTCGATCACTCATGAGTGCTAATCAATTCGCTGGATATTTAGGAATTTTTCTTAGTCCAAGCCTGGAAATTTCCAAAATAATTTATCTCTTATTTGCGCCCACCCTGTCCAAAAATCTCATACATTTTTTAAATAGTAAAACACTCAATAAGTAAGCGGTGATAAATTGCCAATGACGCGTGTAAATATTCATTGAAAGTGCCCAACTTTGACCTAACTTTTATTATCAACTTATACACATTATCAAACAAATGAGCCGTTAAATTCAATTGCATTCAATGCTCTGTTTCGACACGATTTAGATAAATATTTGGAGTTTTAACCAGATAAAGTGTTGTTAATATTTGAAAAATATTTAATTTCATTAGCGAGTTGAATTTCTGAATCCAAAAGCTCATTTCTGAGAAAACAGTACTGAGAAAGTGATGTTTGCAAATGACGCTTGAATGTCAAAAGTATCCTCCCCAAGTATGTAGTATGAGTAAGATGGCTGTCACAATTTGGCAGCAAACGTCAACAGTTTGTCCCCGAAAACGGGCGTTTTTCTCGCAAAAATCATCCTACTGGGCCGGAAAATCTGATAAAACCAACAAAGGAAACTGTCTGATTGAGAAATTTCACAGATTTTCACCAAGCAACGAAAATTTCCATGCATTCGATGCCCATGACTTCTACTGACAGGTCGTGTATAGCGACTGGGCGTGGTTTCAGAGTTTGGAGGTAGACAATCTTGGAAAGTCAGGCGCGCCCAAAATCTACGAATTGAAGGTTTCTAATAAGGAGTTAAAAAATAATGAAAATATCGAAAGAAGAGAGAAATTAATTTTTGAAAATACCTATACTGGAACTGGAAACCTGACTGGGACGCGTGACAACAAATTTTTCCGAACAATAAAACTTTCGGAATATTGAGAGCGGAGTTTTTCACTTTTAATGAAGTTGCAAACGCGTTTCAGTCTGGCCAGGTTTGAGCAGAATTAATTCTTGAAAACACCCTTAACAACTGAAAATCTGGTAATCTTCAAATAGCTGCCAATATTTTCCAGATTTTTTTCCGATTAATAAAACTGTTATGGTTTTAACAGTGAAGTTTTCCCTTTTTAATTGAGTTTCAAGTGCCTTTGAATCTGGTCCAGTTTTCACGAATCTGCGCCTTTTCCTATTGTAGTATTTTGCGGTAAGAATTTCTTCACAAATTCCACAGCCATTGTCAGGCTCAGAAAACTCAGAACCAATACGTTCTGAATATTTTAATTCCTAAAAGAAACTAAAAAATTACTTTTTCTTCGCTCTTGCTCATTTTGCTTCCGAGAAATTAGCAAAAACGGGACGGAAAACACGAAATTTTGGCATAATATTTGCACCTAAGTGTTTGATATTCAAATTTCGCTTTCTGGGTTAAAATTTCTCGAATTTATTCACTCATGTTGTCATGATTCATTCGAGTTTTCAATTCTCTATCCAACGATGCCAAAACGAATTCTGTGGCTCGAATGGTTCTTGAGAAACTTCGAAAAAAGCAGCGTGCTGTTTGAGTCGATTTTGCAACCGAAAACAAAACAAAATCTAAAACTTCTTCAAATCAAGACTTTTTTGAGAAAACGGCAAACATTTCGTTATCGATGGTTGACTTTCTAAAAAGGCCATTTAGTTCTCTCGGGAATAATGTAAGAATGACCGTTCTTGCTGATTTTGCTTCAGGGAAATGAGCCAAAAAGGGGCCGGAAAACACGAAATTTTGGCATAATCTTTGCACCTAAGTGTCGGATATTCAAATTTCGCTTTCTGGGTCAAAACTGCTCGAATTTCTTTACTCATCTTGTTATGATTCAATCGAGTTTTCAATTTTCTACCCAACGATGCCAAAACGAATTCTGTGGCTCAAATGGTTGTTGAGAAAGTTCGAAAAAAGCAGCGTCCTGTTTGAGTCGATTTTGCAACCCAAAACAAAACGCAAATCTAAAACTCCTTGAAATCAAGACTTTTTTGAGAAAACGGCAAACACTTCGTTATCGATGGTTGACTTTCTAAAAAGGCCATTTAGTTCTCTCTGGAATGATGTCAGAATGACCGTTCTTGCCCATTTCGCTTCAGGGAAATGAGCCAAAAAGGGGCCGGAAAACACGAAATTTTGGCATAATCTTTGCACCTAAGTGTTGGATATTCAAATTTTCCTTTCTGGGTCAAAACTACTCGAATTTCCTCACTCATGTTGTTATGACTGAATCAAATTTTGCAATTTTGCACAAATGCAGAAATGTACAGATACTGTTTTCGGTCAAAAATGTTGGTTGAAGCGGGTCAATAGATTCTCTAAAAGAGGGACAAAGTGGGCATCAACAACCTGCAACAATATTGCTTCTGGTTTTGGCGTGTTTGACGAATAATTATGGAGTTTAAAAAAATAAAAAAATTAAACCTGTTTTTAAGTTTGGATGGAAAAACTGCCCCGGATAAATACTACGGTTTATTATTGTCTGGCGCTCGTTTGATGTTGATTTAAAAGTGTGCCAATTGGCAAAAAAATGTACCATTCAGCTACAAATAATGTTAATCAGCCTGGACGTTGAACTGCGGTTTAAATTTAAAATTTGCCGCAAAATTGCGCCAAAAATTATCTGATCGAACGGTTCACTCCTCCATCTAGAACATTGACTTTGCTTATTTACGATGAGCTGCTAGTGTAAATAAAACAGCAGCTGATACTTTATTTGCGCTCATTAACGCATTGTCGCGTTTTTAGGAAGGTTTTAAAATTGCAATCAAGATGGTTAATACCAAAGAGGCGCTTTTGTCGATGATCTCGCAGCCCGCTGAAGATTCCGGCAGTAAAGTCACAGTGGTGGGCGTGGGCCAAGTCGGAATGGCCTGTGCCTTCAGCATCCTGTCGCAGGTAAATTGCGTTAAAAAAGTTGAGAAAACTGATTTTCCAGCCAATTACAGGGAGTATCCAGTGAAGTTGTATTAGTGGACGTGGTTGCCGACAAGCTAAAAGGGGAAATGATGGATCTTCAGCACGGCGCCTTGTTTCTGAAGAATGCCAAGATTGTGGCTGATACTGATTACGCCGTCACTGCTGGATCCAAACTTTGCATTATCACAGCTGGTGAGAATTCGCGATTTGCGCCCCCAAGCCATCCATGTCTTAACCTCGGGTCTTTGGTGGAAATTCTGCAGGAGTGCGTCAAAAGGAAGGGGAGTCTCGTCTGGATCTGGTGCAGCGCAACACGGACGTTTTAAAGCACATCGTGCCCAAGCTGGTCCAGTATTCTCCAGACACCATTCTGCTGGTGGTCAGCAATCCAGTGGACATCCTCACCTACGTGGCGTGGAAACTCAGCGGTCTGCCCAAGAACCGAGTAATTGGATCTGGCACCAACTTGGACACATCCAGGTTCAGATTTCTGATCTCTCAGAAACTGGGAGTTGCGCCCAGCAGTGTTCATGGCTGGATTATTGGGGAACATGGCGACTCCAGTGGTATGTTTCCAATCATTTCTTCGCCTTGCCAGGTTCTAATCGCACTCCATTGGGTTGCAGTGGCGATTTGGTCGGGCGTGAATGTTGCAGGAGTGCGGCTCCGGGAAATTAACGCCGCAGTTGGCACTGAAAGCGACCCAGAAAACTGGAAGGACATTCACAAGCAGGTCATCATGTCCGCTTACGATGTGATCAAACTCAAAGGATACACTTCATGGGCGATCGGGTTGAGTGTTGCCTCATTGGCCTCCAGCATTTTGAGGAACTCCAATAATGTTCATGCAGTTTCCACTTACGTTAAGGTATGTACTTTTGGGTTGTTCAGTACTAATTGGCTGGATGCTTGCTTTATACAGGGTTATTCACGCTATACGGCACGGACGTTTGCGGCTAGCCCGTTTGTTTTTTGCAAAGTATTATTTGATGAATCCACAGACGCTTATCG